TGGGTCCCTGTCACTTGAACCCATTCACATGAGACTGGAGATAGTAGCCCAAGGCACAGCCTTCCTCTGGCCTCTTGTGGCTGCTTTTGCAGTTACAGGAAGAGCCTCAAGATGAGCAGCTTCTCAGCACTGCCCCATTGCCTGCTAGAAGAGGACTGAGGACATTGTTTATGGCACTGAGCAACAGTAAAGTGCAATTAAACTTAAGCAGACAGCTGATGCATGGTGCTATAGCACTAAAGCACCCTGCCTTGCATCAGAAATGACCCTGAATGAAATAAGGATAACTGAACTGATGCTTCAGATGAGAGCTGTGCATTTATAGGCTATTAAAGCACAATCTGAAGGGCTTGACCTGCATTTCTAACTAGACCATGAACCAGGGTTGAAGGCCCCTTGTGTTTTTTGGTGTAATACTTGGGGTTGGCATATCATGGAAGAAAACAAGCAGTGGATAGCAGGATAACTCATGGTGTGTTGACACAATGCCTAGGAAGGGAAAGCTCTACATCCAGTGCCCAACTTCAAAGGTTCACAGCTTCCACCAACTCAAGTTAGAGCTGTGTGAACTCAGCACTTCCCTAGATGTGGTCCCTAGATTATGTTGTGTCCCAAATGCAGCAAGGGGAATGGATACAGCCTTGCACTTCCCTCTGCTTCCTCAGATCTGCTTTTAATGCAGGTTCACTTGTTTTAAAGCATATTTGTCAGTCCCTCCTCTGGTGGCCACACACGCCATTCACCCAGACGCATTGCCCTTGAGAAAACACAAAGGTACAACCCAGTGACAGCTGTAGTTCAAATAGAAGTACATGAATCCTAAAAGGGACAGTGGCACAAAACATCAGATGGTCTTGTTTGCTATTTGTGGTAGGCCTTTCCTGGTAAGTTTAGGAGGACAGGGAGACAGTAAGCTAGTTTCCATTTTGCATACAGAGCAGTGATTTTCTTTCTATGATTGGATTGTTTTCTCCCCCCCATTTTCTGTTCTCAAATCAAAATGGGAGCTGTCAGCTCACACAACCTCAACAGACAATGACATTTCAAGGGGATGGGGCGTTCAGAATCAGAATGGTAAGACTTTCAGTACGTGGGTACAAACTGGAGCATGTTAATGATTTTGTACCTTCACATGCTATTTATTAGTCTTCGCACTTTTAAAGTGACACTGTTAAGCCTGTGTGTTTAATTTTTTTCAATCCATTTGGAGAGAAGGAACCCTGTTGAACTGACTTTTAAGTGTGGACATAAGCATCCTTTTTACTTTTTTAATTGATGAAAAAACATACATATTATTAGGTAACACCACCAGATTGGAAAGCCTTTTTTTACTGCTTGATGCAGTGGTTTCTCTTACCCTTGTTACTTATTTCAATAAAGAAATGAGTTTTACTTAATTTCATCATTCATTTAAAGGCATTAAGCAAGTTTTTCCCTGGACTGGTCAATGGATGGCATTACCAGTATCTTGTATACTGGTGCCAGTGAGAGGTGGGATAGGAATCAGGTGTTGATAAAATTGCACTTTCTGCTGCCCCATCTGCCAATTTTTGTTGCTCTGGGTACACTGAAACCTTGGTCTCCCCACAAAGGTAAACACTGCACTAAGACTTTGGGAACAACGTGTTGATCGCCTTGTTTCTCATCAGACCAGAGTCAACATAATGGTTCTCTGTTTAGAAACTATGCTGGTATTGAATGACCTGGAATTCTGCCTGGATCTAGCCAAAGGAAAATGTAATTGTAGCTGCAATGGGACCTTTCATAAGGGTAGCCTTGTGGCTAAGGACAGAGTAAGGTTCTGTTGCAGTTGTCCTTATACTGCATTATGGGGTTCCATTTTGGATTTTTTTTTTTTTAAAGACCACAATTTAGAGGGTCAACTTGGCAACTGTGTAAGAAGGAAATAGTTTTTACTTTTGGTAAAGGTTTTAAAACTAAGCTGCCTGTGATTGTGGGCTAGGGTAGCTTGCACCTACTATAGACTTTACCTGCTCTTATTCAGAGGGCAGAGCACCCTATAGCAATGATGCCACTTCTGAGAAGTGAACTGCAAGTTTCCCATACTTTTGTATATGTGGATGTGAGGTAGGGGGGAGGGAGGGAAGAGGGAAAAGAGCTTGCTTGTACAGTTTGGTGAAATGAAATGAGACCTTTTTGGTTGTTCCTAAATAAAGAGCATAAAATATTCACAGAAGCCTCATGAGTGGTTTTTGTATCGGATGAGATTTGTATTAAAAGTGCTAAATCCATTTATCTTGTGCTTTGCCGTAGCTGCTCCGCAGCATCTCTTCATTACAACTGTTTCTCATGATCCAAGGTGCTGCTCAGATTTCAGAGCATGGAGTCAAATGAGGCCTTGAAGAAGGAACCATGCATCTCAGAGGTGAGTCCTGAGGGCAGGTAGCCCTTTTGGAGTTGGATGGGATTTGGCTGGAACAGCTTCTGGGCAAAACTACCTCCTACAACTCCCATGGGGTACACACCAATGCTGAAAGCTCAAAGGGAAAGGAAGGGACTCCAGGATGCAAAGCTGAAAATGGTGGAGAGCTGGCTTGAAAACCAACACTGGGTTCTCACAGCTCTCTGGGTGAGACTGAGTAATGGCATAGCATGGTAGGCTGATCCAACACAGCCCTCTTCACAAGTTACTGTTGTCCACATCCATTTTTAAGTCAATAAAAGTGGCCGACGTTTCTGCTGCTCATTACATCAAAACCAGAGAGATTATGTGGCTGAATCCAACTAAATCCAGCTTTCAGAGGCTGTGTGAGTGTATGGGAGAGGAGTGGGAACTGCACTTATCTACACGTATTCCAGAATTGCCACTTCATGATAAAGAGCAGCTGCACCAGTTGCAAGTCCCAAATACGTGCCTTACTTTCAATCAGCTTAATCCACCAGTACTTAGTTGGTAAATACTACCAATTAAGTGAGCAACCCAGACACTTCCATTTCAGCAACAAATTGATTCCAAAGCTTTAGTGTGCTGCTGCATAGGATATCCTCTTAACCTTTGTCGGAGCTGTGCATTATGGCTGCGGTGGGGGAGAGCGGTCTGAATTGCCCAGATTTGTAACTCTAAAATCCAACTGGTGT